ATCATCTCCAAGTAAGAGAGAAAGGCCACATCTGCACTAGAATGGAGTTTCAGAATACAGTTAAACTGTATTGAACTGGATTATATGAGTCTACACTGCCATATAATTCAGTTCAAAGAAGTTAAACTACTGACTGTGAGAGCCGTTCAGCAGTGGAACTCTCTGCCCCAGAGTGTGGTGGAGGCTCCTTCTTTGGAAACTTTTAAACAGAGGCTGGATAGCCATCTGTCAGGGGTGCTTTGAATGCAATATTCCTGCTTCTTGGCAGGGGGTTGGACTGAATGGCCCATGAGATCTCTTCCAACTCTATGATTCTATGATTCTAAAACTGCATTATAGATAATAATAATACTTTATTTATGTTCCTCCCTGTCCTGAGTCTCCCCAAGGGGACTCAGGACAGATCACAATACACATACATGGCAAATATTCAATGTCATTTTGGATAGACAATACAGAGACAGACAGAACAGAAGGAGACATGTTGTGTTGACTAACATCTAGCTTTTTGGTGCCTTGGAAGGTTTGTGCTTGAAATCCAGCCACAGGGGGTGCTATCACTCCATCCTCTATGACGAAGAGCCATTAGGGCTTCCTCCTTCCAACAATGCAAATGTACCACTTTTGCTGGTTTCAACCCTAGGTACAACTTACAAGGATTAAGGGTTTGTTCCTACATGTTCTCCTTGAAATTCAGATGTTGATGGTCATGATTCCAATTGTATTGATGCAGAAGACATGGCTTTGTTAATGTGACAGTTTAATGTGGCATCACTCACACTTTCAGTTAGCAGATGAAAACACATCTCCTTCTGAAAACACATAAAGGCAAAAGTTAGATCCCTAAACTCTCAATCTGTGGCATTTTTCAAGGACTAATCCATTAATAGGAGAATCATACAGTTGGGAGGGAATGCAAGGGAGATCTAGTCTAGCCCTCTGCCATGCAGGAAAGTACAATTAAAGTACATTGAAGAGATGGTCCCTGGTGTCTTTAAAAAAGATCTCCAAAGAAGGAGAGCCCATCATCCTCAGACGAAGTCTGTTTCATTGTGTTAATATCAAAAACACCCTACACCAAATTGGGAGGGATAGCCAAGACTCCAGAGGACAGGAGCAGGATTCAAAACGATCTTGACAGATTAGAGAGACGGGCCAAAACTAACAAAATGAAGTTCAACGGTGACAAATGCAAGATACTCCACTTTGGCAGGAAAAACGAAATGCAAAGATACAGAATGGGGGACGCCTGGCTCGAGAGCAGTATGTGTGAAAAAGATCTTGGAGTCCTCGTGGACAACAAGTTAAACATGAGCCAACAATGTGATGTGGCGGCAAAAAAAGCCAATGGGATTTTGGCCTGCATCAATAGGAGCATAGTGTCTAGAACTAGGGAAGTAATGCTACCCCTCTATTCCGCTTTGGTTAGACCACACCTGGAATATTGTGTCCAATTCTGGGCACCACAATTCAAGAGAGATATTGACAAGCTGGAATGTGTCCAGAGGAGGGCAACTAAAATGATCAAGGGTCTGGAGAACAAGCCCTACGAGGAGCGGCTTAAGGAGCTGGCATGTTTAGCCTGAAGAAGAGAAGGCTGAGAGGAGATATGATAGCCATGTATAAATATGTGAGAGGAAGCCACAGGGAGGAGGGAGCAAGCTTGTTTTCTGCTTCCTTGGAGACTAGGACGCAGAACAATGGCTTCAAACTACAAGAGAGGAGATTCCATCTGAACGCGAGGAAGAACCTCCTGACTGTGAGAGCCGTTCAGCAGTGGAACTCTCTGCCCCTGAGTGTGGTGGAGGCTCCTTCTTTGGAAGCTTTTAAACAGAGGCTGGATGGGCATCTGTCAGGGGTGCTTTGAATGCAACATTCCTGCTTCTTGGCAGGGGGTAGGACTGGATGGCCCATGAGGTCTCTTCCAACTCTTGATTCTATGATTCTATGATTCTGTGGTTAAGTGAAATCTATTTTCATAGTCTCTGGAATAGCAGAAAACAAATTTATTGTATCTTAATCATGACATATCTTTACCTACTTAAATATGGCTCACTTCTTCATCTTCTCTTCTCAGAGCTAAACATGACCAACTTTCCAAGGTTTTCCTCAAAAGCTTGGCTTCCAATATTTTTACTATGTTGGTTGCCCTTCTCAGAACAAGATCTAGCTTACCAGAGGAAAAGAGACATCTAGCAAACTTGCATATTTCTTTAAGTTCCAATGTAAAATTATTTGAAGAAAAGCAATTTGTAAGCCGCCTTGAGTTCCCTTTCGGGTTGAGAAAGGCAGGGTAGAAATGAAGTAAGTAAACAAATAATAATACATTTTCATGTAAGCACATGAATATTGGTTTATTTTACAGAAATGCAGTGTATTTGGCCAGAGAATTTATATCACTTTGGACTTGGCCTCTCATTGTATCACTCTCAATTGTGCCTCATGCACAGGAAGGATCTTGTCAGGCCTTATTTGATTGATTCCTCCACGGAAAAAGAAAGGGACAAAGACTGCCAGGAGGATGGGCATCAAGTGAAGCCAGAGAGGGTTTATATCCCTGTTGTGACAGAAGCAGAGCACAGAGGTGGACGCTCTGCATTCTGTCGCACACTGACAACTGCAGCACAGCAAACAAAGTTACAAGAAATAATGTCTTCCAACTTTAGTAAACTATAATGGCTAATGAAGATATCTGTGCTACTTTACCCCTGCTCCTGCTGTTGTTGCAGTGTACTTTCAAGTCAATTCTGTCATTGGCAAGCCTAAGGCAAGCCTATCACCAGCATTTCTTGGCACAATCTGTTCAGAGGGGAATTTGCACACATTCCTACAATTTTGTCAACAGTACTGAAGACAAGAAGGTCCCACATGACATGCAGATATTTTATTTTATTTACTATATTTATATACCGCCCTTCTCAGCCCACAGGGAAGTTCACAAGGCAACAATTCAATGCCTAACAACATCATTAAAATATTTAAAACATTTAAAAACATTGACATATAATATAAAACAATAAAAAATCAGTAAACAAATCATTTTATATTATTCACCGTTGACTTTATGAGATTCATAGAATCATAGAATCAGAGAGTTGGAAGAGACCTCATGGGCCATCCAGTCCAACCCCCTGCCAAATCATTCAAATCACCCCTGACAGATGCATTCAAATCACCCCTGACAGATTTATTTATTTATTTATTTATTTCCGTCACTTTTACCCCGCCCTTCTCACCCCCAAGGGGGGCTCAGGGCGGCTTACAGAGGAAGGCACAATTCGATGCCTTTATCACATATACATACATATATAAAAGCAATTAAAACAGTTACAAATTAAATTAAATCATCAATACAAAACAGTGCAATAAACAGTAGTAGGCTAATCCTGAGCTCAGCGTTCGGAGTTCCGTAAATCCATTCCGTCTCGACAAATTCCAGCTCGTCATCAAATCTTTCTTTAACTGCCAGAATGTCCAAATGCCTGGTCCCATATCCAGGTTTTCAACTTTTTCCTAAATGAAAGAAGGGACGTTGCCGATCTAATCTCCCCGGGGAGTGAATTCCACAGGCGGGGGGCCACCACCGAGAAGGCCCTGCTCCTCGTCCCCGCCAATCTCACTTGTGATAGAGGCGGGGTCGAGAGCAGGGCCTCCCCAGAGGATCTTAGGTTCCGAGGTGGGACGTAGAGGGAGATCCGTTCGGACAGATACACTGGGCCGGAACCGTATAGGGTTTTGTAGGTCAAAACCAGCACTTTGAATTGTGCTCGGAATTGGATCGGCAGCCAGTGGAGCTGACACAACAGGGGGGTGGTGTGCTCCCTGTATGGCCATCCAGCCACTGTTTAAAAGCTTCAAAAGAAGAATCCTCCACCACACTCTGGGGCAGAGAGTTCCACTGCTGAATGGCTCTCACAGTCAGGAAGTTCTTCCTCATGTTCAGATGGAATCTCCTCTCTTGTAGTTTGAAGCCATTGTTTCATGTCCTAGTCTCCAGGGAAGCAGAAAACAAGCTTGCTCCCTCCTCCCTCTCACATATTTATACATGGCTATTATATCTCCTCTCAGCCTTCTCTTCTTCAGGCTAAACATGCCCAGCTCCTTGAGCCGCTCCTCATAGGGCTAGTTCTCCAGACCCTTGATCATTTTAGTTGCCCTCCTCTGGACACATTCCACCTTATCAATATCTCTCTTGAATTGTGATGCCCAGATTGATCAAAGTCTTTGCTTCTGTGATCCAGGGATTGATTCAAAGGGATGACAAGATATGGGAGATGAAGATTGTGTCAATGAATTTAGAGATGGAGTCTGTAATTCAGAAGGGTACAAGACTGGAATGTCTTCTATGGTAGATCATCTCATGGCTTCTCCCTCAAGTATCTATTGAGAACTTTGATGGAGCTTTTTACTGTCAAAACTCTATGCTCTTAAAATGTTCCTTCTTAGTTGACACAAGGAGATCATAGGGTGAGACATAGCCAGAAGGATCTGCTTGCCTGGCTTCGTCTGTTGTCTTCAACTCTTTCAAAAATAAATGCTTTGCTCATCCCAAATCTGAGTCCCTACAAATTCTTTAGAAGCTGCTTTTGATCTTGACTAAGCCTCAGTCACAGTTCCCTTGTTGGTAGGTTGAACATTTATTCTATTACAGGAACCAAAATTAATTCTTATGGCCTTCAAAAGACCTTACAGAGCTAACACTTTCCACCTGCATGTTTTCATTATGCTATTATTTGTTATATGCTTTGTCATCAAGGTGATATACAAAACCAGTCTCAATGTACAAATACACCTGAGGTAGATTTATATTGATACAGAAAAAAACATGCAAATATTTGTGAACAGGATGCATTCTTGACCATATAATATTGATGCTACCAACAACATACCTAAATTACATCGAAATAATATTTCTGCTTCCCTGTGTGATCTATTCAAAGGATTCACATATCCTTTGCTGATCGAAATACTAGAAGGTTCACTCATTTCCAGTTTTAACAATGTTGGACTCCGCTTCTCTCAATTTGCTCTTTCTAATTGTCGTTGTGGTTCTGACTGTAGTCGGATTGATGGGAAATGGCTTTATCACCATTGCAAGTTCCTGTGACTGGATCAGAAGGAAAACACTATCATCATCCCATATGATAACGCTGGCTCTGAGTCTATCCCGATTGTTTTTTCTCGGGATGACGTTGAACACTCATTGTTTGTTCCTTTATGACATTGGCAATCCAAAATGTATGCCAAGGATTATTCTTGTCTTCTTGTGTTTTTCCAATGCTATCAGCCTTTGGATAGTGACTGTGCTTGTAATCTTTTATTGTGTGAAAAT